GTGTGTACTCGTTTAAAGAAGCAATCAATGCTTTTTTTAACAGGGCGCCCCGGGCCGTAATGTGGTGAAGCATTGTGAGTGGCCTACCATATTCTTTATTCAGGGACAATGTCAATGTCACCTGGTTTCTGGCAGGTGCTGGTCCCCACCAATGGAAGGGAGCTTTGGCCTTTTTTTACCTTTTTAGGCTGACAAAACTTGAAATGGGTCTCTCTTTTCTTTTTTTTCTTTTTCTTTTTTTTGTTAAGCCCAGGGTGTCGTAGAGGCCAAGGACCAGACCCGCGGTTATGGCTGGTAGCGGCAGCCAAGTGTGCCTCACAGCTAAATCCAGCGGCCTAGCTCAATTCGTTAGGGACACAAGTGGCATTCAGGAGGTCGTGGGTTCAATCCCCATCGACGCCTGTGGTGCGCTCGGTGCCAGCCAACTGAGATGGTCCGCTGGATCCTCCCAGTCGGTATTAGTAGAGGGTCTTCAGCCAACACGGTTGGGAGTGCAACTGTGAGTGGGTTGCGTGTGGTGTGTGGTTGAGCGTGGGCCTTAGACACACTGACGTTACTCGATGAGGGGTGGGGCGAAGACGAAAAGGGAGGAGGTGCAGCTACTGGAAAACGCTCGGTCCTTGCGTTAGCCGGGCCCGCACCGGCGGCCCTAACCCTGCACACCCTAAACCACTAGAGCAATGGGAAAACACGCAATTTTTTACCTCCCTCCACCGAGAGAGGTAACCTCCCTTCACCATGAGAAGTAGATAGCTATGCTTGAAGGCGTCCCCCGTATAGCCTTTCAAGTAGTGGTAGGTAGGTCGTGCAGGATGAAAGAATTTGAGAGAGAATATAGTGTAGCAACTGTAGTATTAAAAAAAAAAAAAAAAAAAAAAAAAAAAAACCTCGTGCATCATGTGCTTTACAAACTTTCCTCACATATATCGTCAAACAGAGCTGCGCGGTAAACCGTAGGCAGAAAGGGACAAAAGGGAGAAGAGGACAAGAAACGAGGGGCTGTGACAAACTGTTTCATCGGAGTTTCACCGACTCATCAGGACCATATACCTCCTGACGAGTCGGTGAGACTCCGACGAAACAGTTTGTAACAGCCCCTCCTTTCTTGTCCTCTTCTCCCTCTCTGCCCTCTCTGCCCTCGGTTTACAGGGCAGCTCTCTGCAGCATGAAGATAGGCGCTAGACACTACAAATCGCAGATGCTGTTCTCTGTCTGACACTCAGAGAGCTTACTCACACTAGCACAACCTTGAATGTATCTGACCGTAATTCTGGCCCTACTTGGATGCACCTGACCTCCATTCACTCCAGAAATAAGTAAAGAAAAAAGACCTGGCATGAGTACACCCTGAGAGCGTCAGAGCCTTGCAAATGCACCCCCCCCTGGGCCCCCCGCCCAACCAAAAGGCCCCCGACCGTCATAGACAACATTCGTGCTGGCTGCCTGGTTCTCTGGAATCCTTTAGGATATTGCTTAGCAATGTCATAATGACGCACCTCGTGTGCTGTATCCTTTAGGACATTGCTAAGCATCCCCTATGTCATTAGGCAGGTTAGTATAGATAGCGGTGAAATCTATAGCTGTGCGACGCCATTGTTGAGCACCAGAGGGAGGAGTGTGCATTCAGCTGGAGATCCAAGATGGACTCTCTCAGCCCTTCACACAGTCCAGCAGCATCGCACTTCCGAGTACTTAGTATTTACAGTGTCGACTATGCTTGCTGTGACGACAAGTGATCACTCTTTTCGCTGTGAAGAGTGCAGCTGAGGGAAAGAAGCTGAGGCAAACAGACAGCTGCACTCATCAAGGAGGGAGGGATCACTGCTCTGCAGAGTCTGCACAGCAAACAGACAGCTGCGCTTCTTTGTGCTGAAAACGGGCATGCTGGTAGTAGGTGTGCGCGGTATTGAATGGGTTTCACCTATCTGTTTTTCCAACTTTTTTGGTGGGAGGCACCAATTTTAGTGATTGGGTGGAGTCTAAGCAAAAAACAAAAACAAAGAAAAATTCAAAAAATCAATAGGATGTTAGGATCAGCAGTTTTCTCAATTCTGTTGTGGTTTTAGCTGCTAATTTTAGCAGTAAGATATTTTTTATTTTTTTTAGCAGTAAGATTGTTCAGGGTAGGTATTCAATGGGTTTCAACTATCTGTTTTTTCAACTTTTTTGGTGGGAGGCAACAGTTTTTTAGTGATTGGGTAAGTAAAAAACAAATTAAAAAAAAATCAATAGGATCAGCAGTTTTCTCAATTCTGTTTTGGATTTAGCGATAAGATTTTTCAGGGTATTCTTAGGCCGAAGCCGGCTAATGGCCCCAGTATCTCAAACAAACTGTTCTACATCAGTGCTGGGCCGGCAACCGGCCGGTTGAGCTACCCCGGTCCAACCGGAGCCAGACCAGACCAGGGGGGATGAACCAGAAAACCGGTTTTGAAAACAAAAAGTGCCCAAATATCTTCTTTCTGTTTTTTTTTTTGGGAAGATTCCGACTGTGCTCTTCGAGAGCTGTCCGAATCCGCAATAAAATTTTCAAGGTACAACATTTTTCAGAGGGCTTCCAGAGGGGGGCAGGGGGTTATCATTGACATATTCAGGCAAGTACGGCTTCCTCAGGGAGGGGTCAAGTAAGCAAGTTCACTTATCCGACCCCCCTGTCGCTGGAGCACTTCGTGGAGTATGTCATTTGACATTGATACCCCACGAGCTGAACCAGATATGATGAGAGGAGGTCCTTGCCCGAAATTATAGCTGTTCCAGAGTATATTTCAACAGCAGAAAAGTTATGGTTCCAGCTTTCTGCTCGTGGAGGCAGAGCGTTTTCTGTTTGTTGGTTCCTACATAAGGTGAGTTGTCAGTCTGGAAGTATCTTGTCTGGCAGTCTGTCCAGATACATGTAGTGGAGCAAGGTCCATTCGAGATAGATAGAGAGAAGAATATGGGCCTCGCTGCACTACCCTCGAAATGTGCAAAACGAGAGTGAATCTTCCGCTAGAATTCGGAAAGATACACCGCCAAGATTTTTGTCTTTTGTGCATGTCGAGAGTAGTGCAGCAACGCCCTATATTTTAGGTCCATTCTTGGGATTGCACCTCAGACGGCTCTGAATTCACAATTCCAAAATCCGAACCCATAACTTTTCCACAGATGGCAGGGACGTCGCAGAAGGATATAATCTCAGCAGAGTCTCATCAGAAGCATAGCGTTCCCCTCGTGGCTGAGGGTGAAAGAGCATCAGATGTTGCCAACGGTAACTGGTCCATTGGACCACAAGATGACAAATTGGATTAGGGGCCTACCCGACCCATATCTTACGAAAAACGCATGGCTGTTCTCCGCTGCTCATCTAAACAGATCAGCGGCGGATATCCTCTGCCCGTTTTTCTTATAGAATGGGGTCCTGGCCGATCTTTGCCGCTGATCTGCGACGATCGGCGGCCAAGATTGGCCACTTTCTGTACTTGAAAAATCCGGGCCTACAGGACCCAGTTTCGAAATTGCGGGGCAGGGCCCGCCCCCACGAGGCCTTGGGAACACATACGCGCCGACAAAAAAAAAAATTTCAGCCTGCGCTGGGGGCAACCGGGAGGGAACCGGCCCGGGCCACCGGCCGGTCCAACCGGAAGGACCGCGGATGGGGTAGGGGTCCCCGGTCCATCCGGGGACCAGCCCTGTTCTACATATGTTTTCATAAGGGACGCAGGGCCCGGTTCCCAGCATGTGTTGCTCCCCACGACCCCACGAATAGATGGAGCACTGTTTGTTTAAAAAAAAAAACTTAAAAAAAGTATTTACGGTGTTGAGTGACTTGAGTCTGTTGATCAACAGACTCAAATCACTCAACACTGTAAAGTAGTGATCACTCTTTTCACTGTGAAGAGAGAGTGCAGCTGAGGAGAAAGAATCTCTCTCTCGTAACACGGTAAAAGGACCCACCACTCGTCGCACTCGATCAGTTATCTTATAGTGATCACTCAACTTTTAAGGGAAAGGAATTCCCTTAAAAGTTAAAAGTTAAAACTTGAAAGTAAAAAGTAATTAGTACTTATTACTAGGAAGCAGGGTTGTTTTAACTTGTTTAATATTTTTAGAAGATTTTCAATACCAAGTGCTTAGGGACATCCGTCAAAATTGGAACGATACAGAGAGAAGATTAGCATGGCCCCTGCAGTTTCAAGGATAGACACGAAACGATCGAGAAATGGTCCAAAAAAAAAAAAAAAAAAAAAAAAAAAAACAATGCTTCTAGAATCTAGAAGCTACTGTAGTCTTTATTTCACTCTTTTCATTTATAATCTTTTAGTGTGATTGCTATAATAAATAATAAATATACTTCCTTAACTACATTATTTAACCGTCGGATTGGTCTGAAAAAAAAAAATGCAAGGCCATCTTTCTGCGGGCAAGGGGTTTATTATGGGGAGACCTGTCCCGGAGGGTTTAAGCCAACGAGCAGCCGGCTGCCAGCTGAGGTGATGGTTGTGTGTTTTTGTATGGTGTCGTGTTCGCTATACACAACGCCACAAAACAAAACACAAAAAGCCTGACTGTAGCACACAGTCGCATTGCAATTTCACCAACTCATTAGGAGGGTGAACCCGACAGTCTGCTCAGTAAGCATCCAGCCCGATCGATCGATAAGAATTCACCGCGTCACCGAGATTTACCAATACCCCTGATAAAAAAAAGGGTCCACGTTACTCGCACCAACCCTGCAATTCTATGTGTGTGTCGTCATGCTTGCCATACACAACTCCACACAAAAATCATGACTGTGCCGAACAGACCGTTTCGTCCGACTTTCACCGACTCATCAGAGGCAGGAGCTTGAAGATTGACAGTCTTCCCGGGATGCATTTGACTCATGGATGAAGACTCACCACGTCGCCCAGAGTAAGCGACCACTTGTGTGTGTGTGTGTGTGTGTGTGTGTGTGAGAGAGAGAGAGAGAGAGAGAGAGAGAGAGAGAGAGAGAGTTGAGGCAGACAAGAGGTGTTGATTACCTGGCTTAAACTTGGACGCTTCATGCCTTGCAAGCTCTGCAGGAACTGGGCTTCCGCTTTGGATTAGCATCTGCATGATTGATCGGATTCATTCCGTCAGCAAACAGACATGATTTAACATTCAGTTTGCGTCCGTTATCGATCTTGATAAGATAAAAACAAACTTCTTAGAGGTCATTTCACTTAAAAAAAAAAAAAAAAAAAAAAAAGACTCCTTAAACTTTCTGACAGGAAGAGAGCCACTGACTTGCATCCCTGACATTCAGGAACCATTGGGGAGATTTTTCAGCAGTCAGCAGCTCCCTCAAGAATGAAACGAACTTGAACATCGCGAAATGTGGAAGATTCCAAAGATACTAGCTACCCCGTGCAAAAAGCCATAGCCTCATCCTCAGTTTGATATCAAGTACAATAAAAAATGAAAAAGAATCAAAGGCAACATAACAATAGTGAATGCCCACAAGCATCTTGGGGAGTTTGTGCTATAGTCTGAACAACCATCGTGGCGATACAACGGCTACAGGCATTGAAACCAAGGCGACAAGTGACAGAAAATAATAAAATAGCTAGGCTACCAGCCGGGCCGCCCGGGTCCCGGGTGGCCAGCCCGTGCAAGGATCAGAAAAGGTCCCAGCAAAAAAAAAAAAAAAAAAAAACCGAAAAATCCGAAAAAAAAACTATGTTATGCAGGAAAATAAATCGAACAAATTTTGCCTCAGGGTCACATCGAAATTCTTTACTGAATTAAAAATAAAATATACAAATATACAAATATTTTATTTTTATTTTTATTTTTTTATTACTTTGGCCCGGCCGGGCAAGTGACCCCGGGCCACTCTGGTAGCCTAGTAAAATAGTGAAAATTTTTCAAAAAATACCATCCAATCAGATATTAAGCATTATTGGCAAGGAAGGTTAACATAGCTATTAGATAATAAATTAGTAATGAATTAATCATCTAGGCTGTTTTTGCGGGCGCCCGGGCACCCAACTTGTGCCCGGATACACGCCTGAGTGCCCGGCCAGGGATGACCCCCGGGCAGGGTTCCAGGCAGCCCAGCGCGAAAAAAAAAAGAAAAAAAAAAAAAAAAACGAAAGTAAAAGAATTCCAGAAAAAAAAATGTTGTGTAGAATTGCAGTACAAACAACTTTTGTCTGAGGGGCACATCCGAATTCCTCGCTGAGTCGGAGAGAAAAACGAAAATAACAAAATCACACTAAGGCACCCCCCTTAAAACCCCTTGGCCCCTTTATACCCCCCATCCCCCCCCCTTGACAGCCAACTCTCAAAAAATGAAAAGAGCCAGGATTTGGGGTCCTCTGAGAGAGCGCAGAAAGGCTTTTTCTTTTCTTTTTTCTTTTTTTTTTGCACGCCCGGGTAACCCGCGGCTCAGACCCCCCCCGCCGGGCATGAAAATCTTCCTCTTCCTAGTTAATAATGCCATAAAAAAAAACTATTTTTCAATTTGTATTGATTTGGTTATTTGACTTATTTCAACTTATTTGAGAATGATTTTTTTTCCCATTTTTTCCTAGAAACACATACTATATGGTATAGAAAATTAGAATTTAGAAATAGATATGAAAAAGAAAAAAAAAGGTTCTTGTCTATTTTCACTCACTCACCTGCTTAAGATCATAAAAGACATCACTGTCATGGAGAGTTAAGAAAGTTGTCGCTGTACCGGTCTTCCCCGCACGGCCCGTTCGTCCTGTGGAGGGACACAAAAACACAACACACAGCCGCCATCAATGCAAACATCAGTCAATTGCCCCGCCAACCACCCGTCTCCCCCACCCCCTCCCACACACACACACACACACACTTTTGTGCGTTTTCTTGCTCTGTAAAGGGGGGTTTCGGCGCCTTCAGCTACATCCCACTCTTCCTTTTGCACCAGATGTGCTCACACACTGCTCAGAAAGGAACTCTCAATGTCAGGGCAGATGACTTGTCGAGTACAATCCTAATGAATCCTTTCACCCGAGCTTGGAAGTGCGCAATGTGGATGTGCCGAGTTTAGCCTGCAGAGTGCGCATACATACATCCTCTCTCTCTCTCTCTAGAGAGAGAGAGAGAGAGAGAGCAGATGACTTGTCGAGTACAATCATAATGAATCCTTTCACCCCAGCTTGGAAGTGCGCAATGTGGATGTGCCGAGTTTAGCCTGCGCAGTGCGCATACATACATCCTCTCTCTCTCTCTCTCTGTCTCTCTCTCTCTCTCTCTCCTCTCTCTGTGGGCAGGGAGAGAGAGAGAGAGAGGGAGAGAGAGAGAGAGGGAGGGAGAGAGAGAGAGAGAGACCTGCCCCTCTCCCTCTCTCTCTCACACACACAAAAAGTAAATAAAAGTCAATCCAACCGGGTCAAGGAGAAAACTAACTGGAGCTAAGTCTCCTACTGGGCCAGGGATGGAGTCCAGGAATCTACTACAGAGACAGCAAAAATGTCACCCAACACCGGCCACCTTGGGGGCAGTTCTCTCTCTCTCTCTCTCTCTCTCTCTCTCTCTCTCTCTCTCTCTCTCTTCCCCCCCCCCCCCACACACACACAAGGACAAGAGCGAAGCAAGAGCCGGCAACAAGTATTCCCTCCCAGCGACACAAAAAGCGCTCGTGCGACAAAAAACAAGAAGAACAACGAAAGAGCAGTTGCTGGACCGTAACGAAAACTACGGCTAGTCTGCACCCCCCCTATAGATTCCTGGCAAAGTAAATGGGGATTCAGATGGGGATGGGTTTGCCACAGCTTTGTGGGGGAGAATGAAGTACCGATTCTGTGCGTATACTGCTCGATGTTGCTCGGCATATCATAGTTGATAACATGGGCAACGTCCTGCAAGAACAAAACATGACCACATTCACAAAAGGCAAATAAAAAAACAGGTGGGGAAAAAGAAAATGAACTTCCGTACAAGTTTTCAATAAAATAATTTAAAAAATCATACAATTTTAGTAAGACTAACAACTTTCATAGAATTTCAAAATCAATAAAATTTTCTTTTTCGCTTTTTTTTTCTAGGAAGATTTTCATGACCGGCCGGTCACCCGGGCGTGACCCAGTCATGGCAAAAAAAAAA